TCTGGTCCATTTTCATAGCCTCTGGACCAATTCATCGCCTCTGGTCTTCTTCCAAACTTAGTCATTTCAGCAGCCTCTGGTCCATCGCCTACCTCTGGACCAATTCATCGCCTCTGGACTTCTTCCAGACTTAGTCATTTCAGCAACCTCTGGTCCATCGCCTGCCTCTGGACCAATTCATCGCCTCTAGTCTTCCTTCAGACTTAGTCGTTTCAGTAGCATCTTCAGATTTTCCATCCGTGGCCCCGATTGCTTTGTTAAAACTTTTAGAATAATTAGGATCAATTTTTGGTCCTAATAATTAATAAATTATATTTTATTGGAGATTTTATAAAATTGGTAATTTGGGGATTTCTTAAGCGAGATGTTACATACCCTCTGAAGTCTGAATCGGTCAGACCTTTGGGTATTCAGTGTGTGTGTTTTTTTTTTCCAATTAAGAGATTAAAAGCTCTGATTAGGTCTGAATCATTTACAGAAAAACTAAATCCTTAATTCCTCTTCTTTTGAAAAACGTCGCCTACCTCTGGTCTCTCTCAAGCTCTCGCCTACCTCTGGTCAAGTCTCTCGATCTATCTCTTCAAGCTCTCGCCTACCTCTGGTCGTGTCTCTGAATCAGCTCTCGATCTCTCAATCTAAGGTATCCATCTCGATTTCAATTCTTGTTTGATTTATGTTTTGGTTCTCGGTCTACTTCAAAATTCTATGGTGTATAATTTTTGTTTTGGTTCTCTTTGCTTGGTTGATTTCTGTGTTGGTTCTTTTTCTGTTTTGATTACGAGATTTCATACACTGTGTATGAAATAATCACTGTCAAATGACATACATTGGTATCTCTTTCCGGCTTTCAAATGAAGCACCTTCATTTGATCCTACATTCTCTGTAATTCTTTTTTGTAAAGTGGGTAAATTTTAGTTTTGGTTCCCGATCTACTTCAAATTTCTGTTTTGGTTCTTAACCTACTCTATTACTTTAATCTAAACAGAAAAACTAAAAATGGATCTACTGTGTGCATCACAAAAATAGATACTTTATGTGTTGATCACAGTTGCTAACCTTACTCTCTCCATATAAATCTCTACACGCGGTGTCAAAAATTATGTAGATTGCATCTAGTAAAGGATTCCTATAATGAAGAAAATAGTTTTCTTATTCCATTGATAGTTTGATCGTGTAAGCATTCGCTTCACCACAAAGTTTTATAGCCTCAAAAAGCTCCTCTGCCACTCTGGGTAGTAATCCTTTCCTATGGTTGACCGTTTCCAAAATGTTGTCCCCCTGATCCAAAAAGCCAAATATGGACTTCATTTGAAACAACTGTTTTTGGAACATTGCATTCACTATAGTACATATCACCTCCATGGTATAAGTCTTTCCTACTCCAGTATGTTAAATTACAGTTATCAAAGTGAAGTAAATGTGATAAGATCAATTTGTTCTTCACCTTATAGAGAAATTAGGAAGTGGGTTTTTGATGTCATCAAGAATGGAATCCTTAGGCTTCAGCAGATCTATGTTAGAAACAGAAGCAGGAGCTTTCTCACCACTTAAAAGTGTTGCTCAATTTTATTTACAAGATGGCATGCTTTTTGGTTGAGTTGGTTAACTRTGATTATGGAAAAAGACAACATTTTTTGCTATGGTGTTCATGAAATCCACCTACCTTCAAAAAATTTAAACTAATTTGACATTGCAGTTAGGTAATTCATATCCTTGCTTCCAGTTCAATTTTTTGTTCTTATTTGTCGTGGTGGGAAGCTGTTTTTACTGCTGCTCCCTAGCATTACCCTTCAATGTTTGCTAGTGTTCTTATTAGTTTGTTTAAAATGCAAGTAAACTAATAATTTTTTATTGGTTCAAAATGAACCAATCTAATAGGTTGAAATTTTGTGATGTTTGCACCCGTTCTTTTCTTTTGTAGCATAATAGTCGCTTATCTTGATTTACTTGTAACGACAGGTCTTTTGGTTCCAAAGCTCAGCTCAAGAATAATTAGGCAAGTTGTTGGAGTAGTAGGGTTCCCCACAATGTATTCTTACATTCTGCTTTGGTGCAATTGAGGAAAATTGATCAAAAAAAGAAAGGGAGGGTCCAAGAAGCAATTAATTACTACATGATCGAGTCTTCGATCGCCTTTTTTGTTTCTTTTATGATCAATTTATTTGTGACCACCGTCTTTGCTAAGGAATTTTATGGTATCAAGCAAGCCGATAGTATAGGCCTTGTAAATGTTGGGAGTATCTTGAACAATTAATGCAAAATGAATATTGATTCTAGTTGTTATGATACTTTTTCCTTGTTTTATATTGTGCGTTGAATCAATTGATGTATTTCAGTTGAATTTTTGAATGTGTTAAAAATAGATGGTTGTTTACAAATGGTTTAAATGATTGGATATTTCAGTTGAATTTAATTGAAATGAATTGATTCAGATTTCAAACCTCAGAAGTTTGTCAGTTTACAAAAATAAACAGTCTTATGATTCAGATTTCAGACTTCAGACGTAAAAACAAACAGTCTGACTGATCAGATTTCAGACTTCAGCACCACCTCTTAAAAATCAGAAGTGAATTCAGACTTCACACTTCAGCACCTCTTAAAAAAACATACGCCACCTAAGTGTATTCATGAACATAGGTGGAATATTGATGATTTGAGGTCAGATTTCTTCAAGTTTGGTGTTGTTGGAAGTGGCAGATTCAATTCTGTAAGTTTGAAAAATTGTATAAAATAAATCATTTGTCAAAATGAGATGTTATTTATATAGACAGAAAGATCTACGAGTGAACTACAATTTTGTAGTTTACACCAAAACTTAGTTCTGAGTTTAAGTGACTCGAAAACATTGATTTTCCTAGCCCTGTTATGCATCTATGAAATTGTCTTCAGTTACTGTAAATTTTGTAGTAATTATCCAAAGCTCCAAATTATGTAAATTCAATTTCTTTGAAATCCTAAGAGGTATATCTACAAATTTCATTACAAGAAAGTTTGGTTCAAACTCTAAATATGAGAAAAAGACTTAAACTTTAGGTGTTAAGAATCTGTTCGCTACTGTGTTGCTATGTAGAAATTGGATTTTTACAAATTTTGTTTAAGGTCCTAATAAGTGTATTCAATATTTATTGAGTGTCCTAAGAGTATTTTAAACATATTTTAACTATAAGGGCTTGAACTTGAAATTGATGAGAATTGTTACCGAAAATCGTCTAAAGGTATTTTTTTTTATTAATCTGGATATCCAACCCGCTATGCGAGCCGACTAATCCCAGGGCAACCACCTGCTTTGCAGGTATCCCAGAATCACCACATTTGAACCTCCGTGGCCACAAGGGGATTTTTGTTCCTTCTTGGATTTGAATCTGTAACCTCCAGGAACTTTTGATCTTTGGAGCCAAGCTCAAACCAATCAGACACCACCCTTATCGTTGTCTAAAGGTATTTTACGAATAAGTGTAGGTAACCCGGAAGGAAAGAACAATTCATAAGCCTCAAGTCTTTTATGAGCATTTCTAAAAACACTTCAAAGGTACGAATATATACTTTCTTTCAGTATGTGGGTAATCAATTATAATGATTATCCATTCAATGAAATCTTGATCATGGTATACATCCACAAAAGTGGAGGTTATCAAAATGTTATCCAGAATCTTTTGTGTTTATGGGATGTCTTGTCTTAAAGACTTTATATGCTTGAGAACTTTTATCTATTAATGGTGTCTTTTATGATTCTTGACGATTAATTAATTTGAAAGCTTCATTGTTTTATTATTCTAGTTATCATATGTTAAATTATTGATATGATTAATGAGTTTGAGTTTAAGATTGATGAATTTAGATTTGACTAGGCTTAGTACTCGGGCACGGGTATTGAGACGCCTCCATGATGGCTAAAATAGTCATGACATTCTCATAAGGGCTATATGGCCAAGCCAAATAGAGATGTTGGATGCATCCTTGAACCGGATACCACTTACCATGGTTACCGGATGAAGCCGAATACCAATTACATTGGTTACCGGATAGAGCCGAATATCAATTAAATTGGTCATCAGATAGAGTCGAATATCAATTACATCGGTTACTAGAATAGAGCCGAATACCAAATATCTCTAATTACCGAGGAATGAGATAGTGTAGTGCCCGTCACTTCCATTTCATTACGACGCCTGATTGGACTGATCATCCATCGGGAATAATGTATCCTAATGATACAGATGACCTTCTTACCTTGAACTTTTAATTATATAAGTTTCAATTTTAGATATTTACACTTAAATCGATTTCAACTTTTATCGTAACGTTTTCTTGCATTTACTATTTTATCTTGTATTTATAATGTTATTATTCGTTCACTGCGCAAATTTTGCTCAGTCGATGTTTGTTTTGTTTTACCTCGATAGGTTCAAGATCTAACTTGGGGGCAAGATGAACGGTCAAGATGGCTTAGGATGTAGAAATAATAGTTTTTAGATTAGTACTTTTGCTATATAAATATATTAAACAGATGAATATTATTGGTTGTAATGTAATATTTGAGAGTTATGTTAAAGCTTTAATACTTTGAATTGTATATTTTTTATTCTTTTTTCGGGTGTGTCACGCCTCATCTTAGGTCTAGTAGGATGAGGGTGTTACACAATTACAGGGTTTTCTACGAAAATAAAGAAAAGATGAAAAGTAAAAATGACAAAAAGATTAATGTTAAAAAAAAAAGAAAAAAAAAGCAAATAACAGAAATACTCACAAGTTTAACGGATACTGTGGATGGCTGTTAGGACGAGAGATCAAAACGTTAAAACATTCAAACAACCATTCTGATAAATAACAAAACTGAAGTTCAGGGACCAATGTTGGAAACTAAAAAAACTATAGGGACCGATATTTGAAAACTCACCAAACTGGGCCTGGGCCTGGGTTTCGTTACGTTCGAAGAGTCCATTTTCCATAAAACAGACCCATTCCGCCTCATTAAAATCCCCAACTAAAACCCTAGATTTGCAGTTATCAGTCTATCGTTCGTGCTTTCGGAGTAAACGCTCGTAACTATCAGGTATCTTTCTATGCTCAATTACGTATCATCTATACTTTTTCCTCATTGATTCGTCTTTGTTTTACTTTAATCGCTGATTTCAAGTGCTACCTCTTCTTTGTTACTGTAGATCGGTATTCAAAAACGATCGTTTGTTCCGTTAAGCGATGGCGCTGGTGAGTTTTTCGTTCTCAATTGTGTTGATTTCGTTTAGTTTCTGTTTATTGGGGATGGGTTTGTGATGGATCTCATCGTTTATCAAGTCATACGGATTTAAGAATTTGATATTCATATCGTTCACTGATTTCAACTTTTTTCGTAGTCTTTGATGTGAAAGACATCAGTGGAACGTTATTTTTATATACATGGCCATCTTTTGATTTGCTGTTTCCCGTAATCAATTTTGATTTTATTGAGTTATATCTCTTTACCAAGTCTCCAAGTTGTTTCTGGTTTTTTTACATGATCAACTGGAAATGCTAGATGTTTAATCATGCACTAAATCTTTTAGTTTCTCTTCTGTTTTATATATGGGACTGAACTGTTATGTACATCCGATCGTCTGATTGAATCCGTTTGATTTTAATAATTAGTAAATTATAGGTTATGGATAAATTTCTAAACGAACCCTTTGATTTAGAAACTGGTCAGAAAACGAGAGTTTTTAGCTTGTAATCTTAGTAGAAATTACTAAACCTGACAAATCTGTCACTTTTTAGCGTGTTTACCAACGTTTATTTGTACGTCACAACCGTTATCTTTGCGTTTTAAAATCATTTTATATCCCAACGAAGGGCTTACGTTGGGTTGAGATCATTTGATATTTATATTTGGTGTCAATCGATTGCTTTTTGTTTGATGTGTTGTATGACCTGGTTGCAGATCATGCATTCTGGGAGTGTAAACAAGAATGTTTACAAGGCGCTAATTGCTGCAGAATATCTTGGTGTTGACATTAAGATGGCTGATAATTTTCAGATGGGTGTGTCAAATAAGACCCCTGAGTTTCTTAAGATGAACCCTATTGGAAAGGTACATTTTTTATTTGAGTTAAATCTTCAAATCCCATAGCATGCTTAATAAAGCTCCCGAGCTTCTTAAGATGAACCCTATTGGAAAGGTACCTTTTTTTTTAATTTGATTACACTTATTATAAAAATGCAAACTTTATTCGATGTTTTACATGTTATGCATCGTGGTTGTTGCAGATTCCTGTCCTTGAGACTCCTGATGGGGCTGTCTTTGAGAGTAATGCAATTGCTCGTTATGGTGAGGGATCAAATAGCTTTTGTTTTCGATCTTCTTTCAGTTGTGGGTGATGGTGCTTATTTTATCATCTTTGTTGCTGCAGTTGCCCATCTGAAGCCTGGAAATTCTCTTGTTGGCTCTTCACCAATAGAATATGTAAGTTCTCATTCTTTTCGTTTACGTGTGGTCGTTTCTAGTGACGATGGAATAACCATGCTTATATGTTTTCTTTCATTTGATCTTGATACAGGGCCAAATTGAGCAGTGGATCGACTTTTCTTCATTTGAGCTTGATACAAATTTTAGGGGCTGGATCATGCCAAGACTTGGATATGCTACCTACATCCGTCCTGTTAGTTACTCTCTTTCATATGAAAAGATTCATATTCTGAATTTTGCTCTCTTTTAGCCCTCTGCCTAAAAATTAGAAATTTTTCCTGTTTGGTGGCTTAATGGGACTCTGTAATGGTGTTAAACCTCACACACTAGTAAGTGTGAAGGTCAACTGAATGTAGTTGAATATAATTATGTCTTTTTAAATTTTATTGATTGGGGTTGCATACTATTTTTCTCTATTACGGTTTGGGGTCCAAATGATAATTTTATATGTATGATTTTTTGAAGGCTGAGGAGGCTTATATTGCCGGTGCGAAGAGAGGTCTTGAAGCTCTGAACACACATCTTGCTTCACATACTTTCTTGGTTGGTCATGCCGTGACCTTGGCTGACATCATCTTGACATGCAACATGTTGTACGGCTTTAAAATGCTGATGACAAAGAGCTTCACTTCTGAGTATCCTCATGTTGAGAGGTATTTCTGGACCATGGTTAATCAACCCAACTTCAGTAAGATAATTGGTGAAGTCAAGCAAGCAGATGCTGTTCTTCCTATTCCTTCAGCAAAGAAGCCAGAACAGCCAAAGGAGGCTAAACCAAAACCCGAGCCTAAAAAAGAAGCCCCCAAGCCCAAGCCTGAAGCTACTGCCGGGGAGGAGGAAGAGGCACCAAAGCCCAAGGCAAAGAACCCTCTTGATTTACTACCCCCAAGCAAGATGGTTCTTGACGACTGGAAGAGGCTTTACTCCAACACCAAGACCAACTTCCGCGAGGTTGCAATTAAAGGTATTTTTATTTTTGTATTCCTTTCATCTCTCATTTGAAGCTGAAACTTTTACCTCTGCTTTTGGTATTGATTTGCTTCTAGTTATTTGGCTTCCTGTTATGGCAGATGCCTCTGGTTTTGCTTGTGCAGTTATTGATTTATATTCTCTATAGGATGGTTATTTGATTATAAGATTTTGCCACAATTTTTTTTTAATCAATCTATGTAATCAGGTTTCTAAATTATTTTGTACCCGTTTTAACTGTAAACCTGTTGAACGTGTTTATAAAATGTTTGACACAGATACCCATTTATAAAATGTTCTAAGTGGGACGGAAAAGGGGAAAATAAACTTGGTGTTTCCGGTTAACATTGATTTAAGAAATTAAACCAGACTATGTTACATTTTGACGCATTTTGCCTAAATAGAATATCAACATAGTATGTGAGCTAATGCATTTGTTAACTTTTGGTGCAGGCTTCTGGGATATGTATGATCCAGAGGGCTACTCTCTTTGGTTTTGCAACTACAAGTACAATGATGAGAACACTGTCTCATTTGTTACCATGAACAAGGTTGGTGGTTTCCTGCAGAGAATGGATCTTGCACGGAAGTACGCTTTTGGAAAGATGCTCATCATCGGGTCTGAGCCACCATTCAAGGTGAAGGGATTGTGGCTATTCCGTGGGCCAGAAATCCCCAAGTTTGTAATGGATGAGTGTTATGACATGGAGCTGTATGAGTGGACCAAGGTCGATCTTTCTGATGAAGCACAGAAGGAGCGAGTGAACCAGATGATCGAAGACCAGGAGCCTTTTGAAGGTGAAGCTCTTTTGGATGCAAAGTGTTTCAAGTGAGAGAGAGAGAGTACTATGAGCCACCAAACCAAATCTTGAGGGTGTAGGTTTTTTGTTTCAAGTGTGTTTTAGGTACTGTTATATGCGCGAACTATATGTTTTTTGTGATGTTTTTCCACCGTATTATTATAATTTATTATCGAGGTTGGTCACTTGTCGATTGATGATTGTTGCTTTGTTTTGCATTACCAGATAATAGGACAATACAAGTAGCTTTAGCATCGTTATATTTGCATGAATGACACTCAGTTCATATCTTTAGTTTAAGTTCTATCATTGACAAGGTTTAAAAAATCGATAAGAATCGATTCCGAACCACAATGCTAGCAGATGGCAGGCCTCCGCTTTTATTTTCATTTTTTCCGCCAGTTGTTAAGAAAAAAGACTCTCGGTGATCTTTGATTGGGTGGGGTAGGCAGAAGTTGATCCGGTAGATCGACTAGCAGTTTCAGCTACTGCTCGTGATGATGATTTTGATTAGCGAGATGTTCACTTTTACTTGGATTATGCAATAGATTTTGCTTATTCTCCTCCCACGACGTGCCTAGCTATTACATTCCGACTCATGCATTTGCCGATCAAGTAAATCACATCCAAAGTGATGTGCGCTCATATAGAAAGAAGCATGCCTTCCCGAAGTAGCATCCTTAGACTCGTCCTTATTGTGGGAGAAGAGATGAAAGATTCATAGTTTCAAAGACCTTTCTGTTGATAAGGCATTAAGGTATTCTTTCTTCGGTTTTGACGTTTTCATGTATAGACAAATCGTTAATTCCAAAACCCAATAAACCTGGGAAGCTACGTCGTGTTACTCAATCACATAAAAACGACAGTGATGGATGCAATTTCTCAAGTATTAAATTCTCATAGGTTCAAGAAAGAAAGAGGGACTCAACATTCTTTGCGCAGAGTTCTATTACTATTAATGGGTGGCTCCGCGATTTCTTATGGGCACATGAATCCAAGGTGATTCAGTCTTATGGGTTTTCTGCATATGGCCTTTTTTTTCTAGGTGTTCAATTTGTATGGGCTTTTAGTTTAATGTTTTTATTCAGTGGACATGGTTATTCGCAAGAACTTGTTGAATCCATCGTTTGGGCTCATAATAAATTAAAAGTTGCTCCTGCTACCCATCTGAGAGCCTTAAGCATTTGACAAGGATGTGATGTAGGAGTAACCCATTACCTTCCGGGGTCAAATTGCCACAACATGGGTGTTCTTCTTAAAAAGAATTATTGCAGTAGGATAATGGCTAGGAGGACTTGAAAGGCATTATGTCATTAAGATTTCCAAGGTTTAGCTAAGGCTTAGCTCAGGACCCCACTACTCGTCATATTTGGTTTAATATTGCTACCGCACATGACTTCGAGAGCCATGAACTCATGATGATATTACTGAGGAACGTCTTTATCAAAATATTTTTGCTTCTCACTTCGGGCAATTAGTTAGTTGAGCCTAATGGACAATTTAATGCTTTTTGGGCCGTTTTGTGCTGATTTAGACCTTAATCCGCATGAAGGTAATGCTACAGCAGGAGCAAAGAAACGTAGCAGCTTGTACGCCGAGCTGATCGAATTCAGAGGAGATATTTTGAAGTTGAAAGTCTTTTGTGGATTACTTTATTTCCAAGCTACTAAGATAATTAAAAATGAATGTTATTTTCTAGCCCATGCGACTTAAGAGGAAAGATTGTGTTGTGGGCCATATCACAAGTAGTGACAACTTGAGTTATGATATGTGGAGGAATGCTTGTCTCAACCTCTGATTGAGTGTTCTTAAGTTGATGGTTGGATGCTAACCGTTATTTCCTGAGTATTGGATCTAACGATGGGGCATCACCTTGAGCTGAAATACGCTGCAATACCCGTCCACCAGATTGTTTATTTCAAGTCTCAACTAAACTTTGCACCCTTGCATTCTATATTATTGTTTAATTGTCTGATTTAGCTGTAAATCACTCACAAAGATATTTCTTCGAATTCGCCCTCTGAAGCTGACTTTTCAAATTTGACTTCCTAAAGATTTCAAAGCTTACTTTCCTTGTCGATCGATAATCGGTATCTAACAACGTATTACTCGTAATAAACGATAGTGTTTAGAGATGTATACTTGCATCACTATTCAGACCACAACATGAACCAATATGTAATTCACTCTAAACTAACCTTTTGGATTTTAGATAGAAAATGATAAAGCTTTAGAAAAGGACTAAAATGCCCCTCATTTGACCCTTAATCAACGCTCGAAGATGGGCGATGTTATTCAAAGGGCCGTAACTATAACACCGAAGACCAAATCCATAACAAACATAGTATAAGAACACTACTCATTTTTTTTTATCAAAACACATGGACCAAATTCATAATTTACTCTTAAAAGTAGAAACAATGTTTTTAACTTTGAACATATACACAAATTTTTGGTTCATATCTATTTAAAATAAGAGTGGATTACACTCCTTGACTCTTTTTTACAGTTGGTTTCTTTGGCCTCTGAAATTCATAAAGTACATCAGTGAGGTCTAGTTTTCGCGTTTCAAAGCCCAAACAGATCCCATGTACGAATCCAAGGAGGAATAAGAATCTCATTTGTGTCCATAGAGGTTCAAATGCGGTGACTCTAGGCTACCCGCAAAATAGATGGTCATCCTGGGATTAGCTGGCATGCATAGCGGATTGAATATCTAGGTTAATAAAAAAAGATTATTCTCTTCAGATCGTTGATAAGGCTCTAATAAGTCTGTTAAATGGCCCTTAGGTCAGGGCCAAATTCGTCTTTTTACCCCTTATTAGCCCTCTCTCTCTCTCTCTCTCTCTCTTAACTAGCTTGCTACCCGGGAAGCCATAAAAGAAAAGAGAAAGCTCGTAGGCGTTATTCAGTAGACTTAACGGAGCCTTCTTTTTCCGGTTTCAAAATGGAAATGGACCAATATAGTAATTTATGAATTTTAGAGATCAAAACCGAAAAAACAAGCATAATAAAAGGACTAGATATGTAATTTGTCTTAAAAGAAACGCTAGTATTACACGTAGAAGTAACGCGGACTGATGACCCAGTTTGTAGTTGTATCCAATATCCGGAAAAGGCTGCTATTTTGCGTTGATTTTAGAGAGAGAGATGACTCAGATCTCGTTGCGGTTTCTGTTATTATTATCCTTAATCTCTGCACAATTCTTCTCTGGTTCGTTCCTCAGATCTCTACTACTCTTCTGATCCTTATCTGTTTTCCTAATTGCTTCTTTTTTGCGTAAAAATCTATGTAAAAGATCGGCGACTTATTAGTTTTATTGTTCTTTTTTTTTCCAATAGTAACTAGGGTTTTTATGCCATAAAGATATGGTCGAACTGTTTGATTTGCGTTTGGAATGTTCTTTTTTTCCTTCTAGAGTTTGACCTAATATGTATTCTAGGTTTATTTTGAAATTATCCGTTTATGTCCAGCTGCCTGAATTGGCTGAATATATGAACTTCAGTTACGTTGGAATTGGTATTGAGCTGTTTAGTGTTGGGAACAATTGATTGGGGGGATGAAGTATAGGAGAAAAATGGAAGGAAGAGGAGCCGATCAGAGCTTTCTTGGACTTAACTGGAAGAAAGTTTAGTCTATTGCATATGATGATCTTGTTTTGTTTTGTTTTCAAGATTGTTTAAGCTTAAAGTATGAGCTAATTACGGTCTAAGAATGTAGTGTTTATGGTACTCGTTGAAGGTCCCTTGTCTAATTACGAAGCTGAACTGATATCACCTAGTATATCCCACTCGAAGACCTTTCCTCTAGCCCTTGGGGTAGAGAGGCTGATCCATTGTCAAAGTTGACTTGCATTTCTGTTGGATCCTGACTCGTGAAAAAGTGGGGTACATAAACATGACCTGAATATGCTTCATGTTGGTCTAGGGAAGATGTATGGTAAGGGGCCAAGGGAAGCGATGGGAGGGGATCTTGTAATTGGAAAGTCCCTGCAATGCATGTGAATTTGATTGAAGATATGCATGATTACAGAGCAATAAGTTGAACTAACAAGCATGAAAGCATGTGAGGACAAGAGACAAAAGCCTCCCCCTTTACTATAGGGTTAAATGAAGGGCAAGTCTTAAGTCATTTGGTTTGGTTATTGATGAGCTCAAAAAAGATATACAAGATGATACACTACAATTCATGCTTATTGTTGTTGAGGTCAATTTAATTAATTCAACTAGGCAAGTACCTTTTTTAGAGAATGTTAATAAATTCTAAAATCCATTTCGTTGTCCAGTAGCGACGAGCCAATGTTCGAGTACCAGGCGCTACGGCGCAGAAGTAACCCATTCATATTTTATTTTTACTTTATTAAGAGAATAAAAATCCTTCTTTTTTGTGGAAGTTTTGGAGAAACACTTTGGAATATGATTTTTTTCTAAAGCAATCCAAAATATGCTAAGAGTGATCAAGTGCGATTTTATTAGTGCTCTTGATATGGAAGCAGAAGATATGGGTAGGTTATCTGAGAAGGAAATAGTTAATAAATGGTGTTTTTCTTCTTTCCTTGTGTGCGTGTGTGGAGGAGGGGGGGAGAGTGAGTTGAGGCAGTGGGCTTGCTGTAGTTTAACAATGAACCTTCATATTAAACTTGTCTGATGCCTCCTGATATTATTGATAAAATTATGTTCGCAAGAATTTTTCTTGTCATAGGCCACTATTAGTGGATATGTAACTGTCAAGTTGGTTGTGGCAACAGGAGTAGTTTATCGGAAATAGAGTTGGATTCACTCCAGATAAGAGATCAATAGGTAATGTAATGTCTCTATAAGTCTTTCTTGCTTGCTTAATGTCCCTCCTCTCACCTCTTTGTGTGCATGAATGTTGTCTCCTATCTTCCTCCATTAAATACTTAAACATCTGAAACTCTTATTAAGACCCAAGTAGTTTTGGTAAGAAATTGGAGTGTTCTGATTTGCATACTGAACGTTTGCACAAACACGATGACTTCCATTTGCTGGTTTGGTGAATTGAAGTTACCAGTTTCATAAATTGGCTTCTGTAGTGCATGTTTGTCCGAACACCTATCCATTATCATCAATGTGTATTTGTTTTCTTTTTCTAATCTATTGAAGTGTAGCATTCTCGTAAACTTATTAATCTCTTGTATCTTAAATCCTTTCAGGGTTTTCAGACGATTCAAATTCCAAAAATGGGACAAAGGTTGATGCCCATTCTTCAAGTAGCAGAACTGGATCAATAATACTCATAATTTGCATTGCACTTGTGGCAGTTGTGGGTTTGTCATTTTTCCTTTTCAGGTTATGGCAAAAGAAGAAACGTGATGAACAATATGCTCGTCTTTTAAAGCTGTTTGAACAAGATGATGAGCTTGAGCTTGAACTTGGTCTTCGTGATTGAGTTAGTTCAATCAAGGTAATGCTCCTTACTGGTCGTTTCAATGAATTCATTAGCCAAAACTCATCATACTGTCCACCCACACCTGCTATTTTATTATGTGCATCCTTGATCTGATCCCTCAAAAAACATTCCTCATCCATCAGGAATACCTAAGTTTGAAACAGTAACATAAATGGTCGATGCAGTAAACGTGGCACTAGGGAAAAGTATTGTAAATTGACCGTGTAAAATGATTGTATGCAGATTACTCTACTAGGATTACGTGGATCAACGTTGTATTTTGTAGTATTTCATTAACATATATGAATCTTTTTATTAGGGTCGTTCACCAAATGCTTATTGGGTAAGCGCTTTTCTGTAAGAGTCACCATCCACTCTTACCTTGTCGGGTAATATTCTCGACCATCAAAATGGATGGATTGTTTGCAAGTGTCTCTCACCCTGTAACCACCAACTGGGTAAGAGTCTTTTCTCACTTGCCAAGCAAGAACCTAGGTTGTTTCGATGCCTCTTAGCGGGTAAGGTTCTTGGTTGTCATGCTCACCCAGTAAAGTAAGTGAATTTGTAAGCGTGCCCTGACAACTTTCTGGTCATAGTAGATCCAGTGAACATAAGAACTTGTGAAAATGGCATGAGGTTCAGTTTATGGTTATGAAAAGCATATGGTAACAAGTGGTGGGGTTGAATTCATGACACAGGTGTAAATGATGAGGATCCTGAATGAGCAAAACCACAAGAGATGAGGGTCTGAAGTTGTGATTAGAATTTGTATAATTTTTACCCAACAACAACACATGACAAAAAGGTCTAGTCATTTTTTATTTCTCATCCTATCCTGTCTATTATGTTTTTATAGGGAAAGAGGCTTACTTGTAATATATTGCACATACATCCTTTGCTGCTGCTTCTTTTAATTTCAGAATGAACAATTCCACCTCATTTGCATTGTTTCTTTAACTTGGATGCTATCTATGCATGAATTCTAGGTAAAAGAACTTGTTTAATATAGCTACTTAAATAGTTATTTTAGTTTATCCTAATTTTAAGACATTAATCTTTGATGCTAAAATATAAAACAAACTGTACAAGTTTATGAGATACATTCAATAAAATAAAACTTGCATTATTATAACAAACATAAAAGCTCAACTATTTAAAAGTTTAAATAATTACAATAAAAAGGATCAAATAACAACACTTAGGGTCTGTTTACCAAACGATTACCTGGGTAAGCGCTTACCAAGTAACATTATCTCACTGGATGAATATATAGTAAGGGCCAAGAATCTTACCCGGTAAGAGGGAGACAAGGATCAAGAGTCTTACCTGGCAAGTGGGGGCGACGACTCTTACCACGATTAACGCTTACCGGGTAAATTGTCGTATACTATGTCGTTTTGATGGACTAAAATCTTATCAGGTAAGTACATAATAGTGTTAAATTTTACCGGTAAGCACTTAACAAATAAGTGTTTGATAAACGGCCCCTTAATCTTGATTTCTCAAGCCCAATCATTTTTTATGGTAAAATCTTCGAGGTGTCGAACAAAAACAATCATTTTGACATGTTATAGTGTTGTATAAACATCCCACATTTGGTTTTTCTTTTTACTCAAATCTTAAGCAATGCTTATCAAAATTGTTCAACTTATTTATTAAATTGACAAATCATAATATAATCATCATTTTGTAATATAATCAAACAGAGTAACCTAAAAGAAACAAGAGACCCACCAGTCAGATTTTTTACCTAAATAAGTTAAAATTGCATCTTCAACAACTTTTACAAAATAAAGAAAATTGAGATTTTGAGCTAATATTTTATTCGAAATGAAAAAAAGTAGAAGAGAGAAGTTGTTTTCACGAAAGGGGATTACAAATTAAGACCATCAATAAGAAACCTTGAAAATATATATTTAGAGAGAGAAATAATATTTTAATCGATAGAATGAAAAAATTTAAGATTACAATCAATGTTGGATTCTCCAAAATAGAGAATGTGTTGGAGATGAATATAAATTTTTTTCTTTCAAGATTTTACTTTTAGTTTTCCGGTTGAAATTTGTATACTCTTATACTACATTCATTTTGAATGTTTGATGTCTCCTATATTCTGAAACCAAAAAGCTACTTAACACTAAGTGCATCTTCAATGCTAAAAATAAGGATTTGTATAAAAATATTGGGAACCACTTAACTATTAAAGCAATAACTTAAAGAATAGTTTAACATAAAAGCTTAGAGATGTCAAGTGTTTGAATATTTAAGTACGTATACTAAAAATGAATTAAAAATACAAAAAAAGCTTTTAAAAGACTTGATCATTAGAGCAAGTATTTGAAAATGGTTTTTGTTTAGTGAAAATCTGATGTGAAAAATAGATCAAGCATTTTAAAAACTTGACCATTGTCCAAAACGAACTTTTCAATTAAATATTATCAACTAAAAACCCATTTCCAACACTCAACAAATCAAAACAAAAAATGTATGTTCCAAGTCCTTGCAAGTCCAAAATCAACTTAAAATCTAAGTTGAGTTCTAAAAGAATTTTTTTTTTTGACCTTTAGAGCTAAACTCAAACCAATCAGACACCCTTGTAGTTTTCCAAAAGAATTTTAAACCAAAATGTTTGGATTCATACAGTTTCAGCATGATGCTATTAGAATGAACAATATATATCATCCAGACTAGCAAACTAGAGAAACCAACCTATCATTAAGAGGTTGTTTACCAGTGTCACTTAGGATGAACATTTATCTTTTGGAGGTTGTTTATCGTAAGGAAACATTTGGTAAACGGAAAGGATAAACTAGAGTTGGAAGGAAACAGGTCTTGAGAAATAGAGATGTATGCAAGTTCAAGTCCTACGAATTGATGTTCCTGTATTCGGAAAATAAACACTAATCCTGTGTTATTTTAGGCTCAAGGTATAGAGTTCGGAAAATATTTATGGAAGAAGTTGAATCTACACAGCAAAATTAAAAATGGACCAAATTCCATGACATCCTCAAGCGGCCAAAAAGATTACAATAAAATCAATGTGCCAAAAGGTTCTACCTACATTTCACTTCTCTCTAATCGCTATGAAAGTAGTCTTTTTTCAACTCTAAACAACTGCCACTGACGTGGAATGGAACGAAAAAGGAAAATGCGAACCAGTTGAAGCAAAAAAAAGACAAAAAAAACCCGTATACACAACTTCAATCAAAATGAGCACATCCAAGGCTTCAACTTATTATTATTATTACCTCGATTGCTTATGTCATATAACTCCTCACTTGCTGTCTGTGAAATCTGCATCAATCACATCTCCTTCAGGCCCCTTGCCGCCGCCTCCTGCTGATGATGATTCTGAAGACTCGGCACCAGGGGCATCACCAGGTGCAGGACCCCCTGCCCCACCAGGCTGGTTGTAGAGCGACTGCCCAAGTTGCATAACTTCTTGGTTAAGGGCAGCCATGGCATCTTTGATGGTCTGTGTTGAGCCACCAGATATGGCTTCCTTGAGCAATCCAAGTTTCTCCTCCACCTTCTCCTTAACAGCAACAGGAACCTTTTCTCCCAATTCTTTCAGCTGTTTCTCCGTCTGGTAAACCACTGAATCTGCTTGGTTCTTTGTGTCTATCGCATCTCTTTTTTCCTTGTCTTCTTTTGCAAACTTCTCTGCTTCACTAACCATTCTTTGTACCTTCCATTCACAAGACAGGATATTAATTTTTTCATAACCATAAGCTAGCTTATTTTTTGAACCTATTGAAAAAGACTCTTTTTGGTTAGTCATATGTTAGCTTTTTAGCCAGGTAATTATATAGACACAGCAGAGAGCCAGAGAGGCCATGCATGGATTTAGTTATAAAGAAGATATCTAATAAATATAGATGAAATTTTGACTATATAGTGATCAATCTTCATTACTAGATGTCTTTTTTTATTTATTATTTCAGTACTATTGAAAAACAGATTAGTTACAGAACAGGGTACTGACCGCAGGATACTGCAATTTGTTCTTTCTTTTTTGTGTATCATTTTGTTTTTATTATTACCATGTCCTACAGAACCAACATTAAAGAAAAACAAAAACAAAAACAAAAACAACTAACATACAGGCTCTCGCCCGTAAAAGAAATTTGTTCTCTTTTATGGGCAGGGGCCTGTATTTAAGTCGTTTTCGTGCTTTGTTTTTCCTTAATGTTGGTAACATAGGACATGGTGATAAAACAAAATGGTACACAAGAAAAAAAGAACGATAACCATATCCTGTGGTCAGGACCCTATAACCATGATCACTAACTACTATGCCTTTTAATATTACTGATATAATAACCCTCTAGTATTGATGATTGGTCACAACTCACAATATTGTCAACATTTTATCTATATTTATTAGGTGTTCTGTTTGTAACTAAAAAAAACCTCTACTCTAGATTTCCAAAGGCTGGTTTTTTACACCTTTTTCCAGTTATGCCCCTTACATTCAACATGTCTTTTTAGGTAAATTTTACATTGCCATCTAGTTTTTTTACCAAACATTACTAGTTTTTCAGTCAACTGCTAGCTTATCAACTAGTTTGCCAAACATAGCCTAATTGTATAACTCTAGACAACAAATTGAGCTTCTCAAAAGAAAGAAATATGTAAAATACATTACATACCTCATCATTTGGCAGTGTGCTGGCACCAGTAATGGTGATATCTTGCTTCTTTCCTGTGCCTTTATCAATGGCAGTGACAGACAGGATACCGTTGGCATCAATGTCAAATTTCACCTCGATTTGTGGAACTCCACGTGGAGCAGGAGGGATTCCGTCAAGTCGAAAGCTGCCAAGAGACTTATTGTCTCTAACAAATTCTCTCTCACCTTGAAGGACATTAATTTCAACACTTGTTTGCCCATCAGCAGCTGTTGAGAACACCTCGGATTTTGAAGTGGGGAGAGTTGTGTTTCTAGGTATAATCTTTGTCATCACACCACCAAGAGTTTCTAGCCCAATAGATAGTGGTGTCACATCAAGTAGAACAATATCACTCACATCTCCGGCCAAAACACCAGCCTAGAAACAAACAAATAATCAAAATCTCGAATCATATATAAAATAAACAAATAACTTTAGAAGAAAATAGGATATACCTGAACTGCAGCTCCTAAGGCAACAACTTCATCGGGATTGACAGTTACATTTGGTTCCTTTCCAGTCAGGCTCTTAATAACTTCCTGAACAGCTGGAATACGCGTTGAACCACCAACAAGTATAACTTCATCTAAATCTTTGAATGATAGCTTTGCATCTCTAAGAGAATTTTCAACTGGGGCTTTAAGCCTGAAAGGATATCCAAACTTATCAGTTTCACCATCATTTCTCTTTACAACAGTTGACTAACTAGTAAAAGGACTTGAGACCGCATGAGAAATTTTCATTTTCGTGAGAAATAGTGAAGATACCTTCATATGGACCTGAAATGTGTATAGGAAAGTTACAGTGAAGGCGGTAACCTCCACATTTCTTCATACGATATAAAGTTATATTTTTACAGGTTTTAATGTAAGTTTATGTTACATTATGTGAAGGTTACATTTCTCATGCTTCCTGCGAAAATGGGTATTTCTCATGAGATCCCAACCCTTAGAGATGGTATAATAAAATAGTTCACCAACCAAATTAACTTTCACTTCATAGGACCGATGATTAAAACTTGTTTTATATATATATGTATGTATATATATATATGTATGTGTGTATATATATATATGTGTGTGTGTATATATATATATATGTATGTATAGGGTCAGGTTTAGGATCAGGGGAAAACCGCAAAAAATTGAAAAACTGAGGAACACCCTAGTAATTCATCTAGACGGTATGCACATGTGCATACAAGTAATTTGGAAGCAATTTGTCCGGTATGCATATGTGCATAACGTGCATAACATGCACACATGCATGAAACCAAAAAACAGCTTCAATTACTTGTATACATATGTGCATACTGTCCAGATGAATGGTTATCCGAGTGTTCCTCAGTTTTTCATTTTTTAGGATTTTCCCTTCAACCTCCCTCTATATGTATATATATACGTACCTATCTAGTAGATCTGAGCATAGTTCTTCAAACTTTGCCCTTGTAAGCGTGGTGTCAATGTGTTTGGGGCCATCCGCTGTGGCTGTAATGAAAGGCAAGCTAAGAAGAAAAGAAACCATAAATCAGTAAATCCATTTACTACAAAAGGCAGAACAACAATCATGATCTTCAAATGATTCACGTACCTAATATTTGCCTGAGTCAAAGTTGAAAGCTCCATCTTAGCCTTTTCAGCTGTTTCAGTCAAGCGCTGCAGAGCTTGCTTATCCTTTAGTAGATCTATGCCCTCATCTTTCTTGAAGCTTGCCGCAAGCCAATCCACTACTCTCTACATAAAAATATATATTGAAAATGAATTCATTCATCACCTATTATACAATAATAGGTAGTAAATGGACCAATGATATTTGCTCTTGAACAACACTAACCTTATCAAAATCATCACCACCCAAATGCGTATCTCCGGAAGTAGAAAGCACCTCAAATACTCCATCACCAACCTCGAGAACTACAATAGACAAAATGGGAAACAAACATCAGAAAGCAAGTTTAATAACAACCGACTACTAAACCAGACATTGAGATAGTCGTAAAAATATTATGTAGCACAAAGCTCTAGAGATAGTAAGCTGATTTATATGCACTGCATTTAGAAATAAAACATAATATTAGATCTGCATCCCAGTTATCCCAAGTTCCCTCACCTGAAACATCAAAAGTACCACCTCCAAGGTCAAACACTAATATGGTTTCATTGTTCTTCCTTTCAAAACCATAAGCTAGCGAGGCAGCTGTAGGTTCATTGATAATACGGAGAACTTCAAGGCCAGCAATGCGACCTGCATCCTTTGTTGCTGTTCTTTGCGAATCATTGAAATAAGCAGGAACTGTTACAACAGCTTTTGTGACCTTATCATTCAGAAACTTTGAAGCATCATCTACAAGCTTTCTCAAAACCTGAGTATCGGGGAGCAACAAGAGATGGTAGTTCAGTGTAAAAAAAATATCCCAATAAAGATCATAAACACACAAGCATAAAGGCTAAATAACTGAAAAGCTATATAGTCTCCATCTACAAATAAGCAAGACCTCGTAACTGTGAACTTCATGCAAGAACCAAATTCAGGATTTATTGCTTACATACAAAGTGCCCGTTGTTACTGACTAGAAAATTACAACTAATTCAAACTGTTCCATGATCTATAGCATTCCACATCATTTACAGATTAACCCTTGTTCTGATATCTAATTTACATTAAAATCAAAAGTCCTGAGTGTCTGTTTAAGCACTAAAACAAGCAGAGATTATACAAGAGCAACTTCAACCCACACTAACACTCTAAAACACAAAAATGTGGGCCCATACACAGTAAAACACAAAGCCCCCTCCAACCACACACTAAAACCCTCCTCTCCCAAAAGCCATTTTTGCCGGCCAAGATGCCTGGTGGTTGGAGAAAACCGACTGGCAAAAGTGAAGCATACTGGCCGGTTAGAGATACTCTAGGTTCATACATTGCCAGTTGTATTCAAATTCATTAACTCTTTACTTGAGGACTCTTCATACATACATACAAAAACCTTAACTGCCCCTACTCATAAATCGAAGATATAACCATAGAAAATAAAATTTATCGAACAGGTTCTTCTAAGTGAAATCAACCACATCAAAGTAAAATAAAGAAGCAACCATTTCTTCACAAAATACATCTTACTACTACAATGGGAAAGCATGGTATACCTGTGCAGAAATTTCTTCAGCAGCAAACTGTTTCCCAATAGCAGGGCAATCAAGCTTAACATTTCCATTCTCATCACGCACCACCGTATACGAAACCTGCTTGGACTCCTCATCCACCTCCGACATCTTCCTCCCAATAAACCTCTTCACCGAAAAGAAGGTATTTTCAGGGTTGACAACAGCCTGCCTCTTAGCAATCTGTCCCACCAACCTATCCCCGTTCTTCGTGTACGCCACAACCGACGGCGTCGTCCTCTGCCCCTCGGCGTTGGTCACAATAACAGGCTTCCCACCTTCCATCGCACCAACAGCAGAGTTGGTAGTTCCGAGATCGATTCCCACAACCTTCTCAGCGACGACTCTAAGAGAACCATTACCACGATTTCTTCTAGTCTTGCTAAGCTTGAAAGACGATATTTTTTGTGAAAAGGAAACAGAATTCCTTAAACCTTGGCCGAATAAGAGTGATTTGGTAGAGTTATTAGTTGTAGCAAAAGGGGTGGCTCCAAGAGGATGAATCTGAGCTGTTGAGGAGGCCATCTGATAAACCCTAGAAAATTTGAGAGGAGGAGTAATTTGGGGAATGAATCTCTGAAGAAGATAAAGTAGGGGACGGAGGGGAGAGGGTTAGGTGGGTCCATCCTAATAATGATTTTTTTTATTATTATTATTATTATTATTATTTACAACTATTTAATTCCAAAATATGATATTTATCTCATTATTTAATTATGATTATAATTTTTTAAGTAAATTACACATTTGGTCCCTTGTAAATGCTTCATTTTTAGTTGTGAAAGGTAAAAGTATAACGGTGGTCCAAAAATAGTGGTTTTTAAACCAAATTTCTTTCTCTCGCTGACGTTGTTAGAGGAGACCCCGTTAGGTCCGTCATGTGATGAGTAATTTGATTATTTTACCTATCTTCTTCAACCTAACATCCATTCCAATAATATTTAGGGATTGTTTGGCAGTTGCTAAATGGTTTAGTGCAGAATTATTAAGAGACTTTCGTTATATAATGGAAAACGAAATATAATTGTTTGGTAATTGTTTACAATGAAATTAAAACGTTAAATGGTTAAGGAAGACACATGATACAAAATCATTCAGAGGGTTTTAGAACATTAAGAGACAACCTTTTTTTTATCAAACAAGATTCACCTTTTAACGATTCAGATGATACCTCTTAATGAAACTATTAAGAGGTAAACAAATACTCAAGTCAAGAACATTATCCATTATTTTTCTTCCTTTGAATATTCACCACCACCGTGATTCATAACTAAATACCAAATCAGAGGGGAGGGATTCAAGATGGCGATGGGGATCTATCAAGAAATATAGGGAATCATAAAGGAGATTACATATCAAATTCCCTTTAATTTAATCCTTTTTGATTTATTTTTATATATAATATTTATCATTATGTTATTTTTATTTTTTAAATACAAAATAAAAAAAGGTAAAATGACTAAATTACCCATCGTATAAGGCACACATGATGGAGTTAACGGGATCTCCTCTTAACGACGTAAGTGAAATGGACTGATTTGAGCTAAAAACATGATTTTTGGACCACCAATGTACTTTTACCTTTCGAGGGCAAACTAAAAAAATGTATTCACGAGGGACCAAATATGTAATTCACATGATTTTTTAAATCACGTATACATTCAAACATCCTTTAAAATCTATCGATGGAGTTGATATAACAACACAAAATAATACTGGTTAAGATAATATTTGACTAAAAAACTAATTATGTTTGCTAAAAACTATTTATGTTTAATAATATAAATTAACTTAAAAATATTTCTAGAAAATTTAATTAGAAAAATGAATAAACTCTAAAGCTTGTTGAGTCGTTTTGGAAATAAGTTTTCTAAAATTTAACTTATGGCTTACCAATAAATAAAATTTCAGTAATGAATATGTAAAATGAAAAACGTATTTGAAGTTTTAAAAAAGAATTACATTTTATTTTGAGGTTATATTGGTAAAACATAAATATATTTCACCTTGTTTTATCTTGTTTCATGGGGTGGGGGTGTAACATGTCTGTTTCACTTTGTACCATGTAATTTTTTTGTCAAACATGGAACAATGATCCATGTTTAATTTCATTATGTCATGTCCATTGTATAAAACGCACCCTTATTACATAGCATTTGCTACTTATTACTTGTGTTTTTTTATATGATGTTACATATGACCTTGTTATGGTATGAGTTGTGTATGTTTATTGAAAATACGTAATGAATTGCAAAAAGAAAAGAAAGCGAACATAGTTTATGCGCCGCTAATGTAGCGGCTTGTCGAGCATTTGACAAATGCACACCATCCATTTCAAATGGGATTTGTCYTGTGGACACACGAGCAATCCAACCCGTAGGATTTCCTTTTTCCTCTCCCCATTCTGACTTTTGTAGGTTTCCCTGTAATAGGGAGATCTGCGAGAACTCTTACCCATATCTTACCATTTCTTCGGAATTGTCCGCTCATAGTACGATGGAATTGCCCAATTATAGCTCGACGCGACCCCCTGTTGACCTTTTTTAGTAGATAGAATCTTCATTGAGTGGAAACAAGCAACCTTACTAAGCTAAGAAAGGTGCTTGTTGAGTAAGGYCGGCTTTCTTCGAATGCTTGAGCGCTTCTTTCTCATATCGATCATTCAATATCCTTGACTTTTCAATAAGGGGCGCGTTAGCTAGGCCGTTTTCTTGCAGGAGTGCTAGCGCGCACCCTTACATTTTCTTCTCTTGTTATTCTTGGAAAAAGAGGGAGCGAGCTATATAAAAAATGGAATCAAGCAAATTCAATGAATAGATAGAGTCAACGGTACGACAGACAGCACATGCAAATTTGCTTTTGAAGTTGAGGAGTCTAGAATGAATACTTTGTGTGATTAATGACTAATCAATAGGTGCAGTTTCTTTTAAATAAGAGTTTACTTAGCATTCATGATTTTAATGAGTTTTGAAGTTGGAATATAATATATTATTATTATTATAATATCAACGAGATAAACATGTGAAAAATATTTATATTATCATATTTAACAACATGATCATAAAAAACGATAACTTATATCTTCAATAGATTATTCAGAAAAAAGAAAATCAAAATTTAAAATTATTGAATAAAATTTCAACAACTCCTTAGTTATAAAATATAATAACATTAATTATTTATATTTATACTATATTATAAAGCATACAAAAACTACTTTTTATACATGAAATACTGTTTATTGATGCATATTACTTAAAATTCAAGATTACAAATAAACTGTGCATAAATACAACTTATTAAATAGGATAAACATCTTATTTTAAATATAAAAAATCTAAAATATAATTAGGATAATAATTGAATTCTAACAAAATACTTAATTATTATTTTTATAAAAAACTATATTATTAAACCAAAAATAAAAAAAGAAATTAAAGAAATACAGAAAAAAAATTAAATAGTGAGTTTAGTACTAATATAAAAAAAAATCATTTTCGTATGATATTTTTATATTTATATTTTATTCAAAATTTAAAAATATTATTTCTTTCTCAAAACCACATAAAACCGTATTATAACATCGACTGAGATAAAAAAATAAAATATTAAAATCGAGATGTATCTCACTGCATTATGTGGATACCATGATAATTTCAAATTTGAAAATTTTCACTCTCTACATTTTAGAACAAGTATTAAAAAATCTCTTAGAGTAAAAAAAATCCCAAAATCTTTATTTTCTTGTATTTTAAAGAATATTTTAGAGATCTCATACCAATATGTTTAAAAAATAAAGAAATAATAATGATTTTAACAATGTATTTGATGAGTATTTTCAATGTGTAGGTTTTGATTCCCACGTGATTAATGCATGTATGGTTCAGGTAGGAGAATAAAAATATGAATGAAAATAAAAATGACAGGTAATAAATATTGCACTGATGATATTTGGTTAATATTGGGAAATCATTATTATTATCATAGATGTTGTTTGGATGTTTAACATATATAATAATTTGTTAGGAATGAAATTCTGTGTAAAATTGTATTCGTCTTGAAAGATAAAATTGTCTATAATTGTAGAAAAGTCGTCGTGTTTGACTTTTCTTTAGAGAAGTTTGACTTTGACTATGTGTATTGTTTGACCCTATAAATAGGGTATTTCCTTGTAATCTTTGTAAGGAGCCTTATTGTAAAATTCAGTTTACGTATATTGAAGTTTGACCAAGATTAGAGCTTTGACTTTCTCTCTCTCTACTCTTTATATATTCTTACTTGAATATATTCAGATCTGCCATTGTTCTTGAAGATTTAATGAAGATTGATTGATCGTGGACTCACAATTGATATCAGAGCACGTTTGCAGGAAATCTGATTGAAGAAATCATCACGAATTGCACAATTTTCTGAAATTTCATTTTTTTTCTTTGATGTTCATAAAAGTTCTTGAATGTTCATCTTAATCTTCATAAATTTTTACTCAAATCTCTCATTTGTGGACGTTTGATTGTTAAATTTGTGTCCATTGTATACGGATTTAAATCATGAATCTGTTTTATCCTTTCAAACTTCATGATTTAATCATTGAAAGTGAAGATTTGAAAAGTTTTATGAATTTTGGTGTTTTTTGTGTTCTTATGAAAATTTATCAAAAAGGTAGATTTTGATCCAAAGTTTGTATAAACTTTTGTAATATTTGTGTTACTGTGCTGTTTGATCTAATCTTGGTTGTCTTTCACGATTGAATCTTGTTAGTTGACCGGATTAGAGACTGCAGTAAGTGGGTTAACATTTTGAGCGATTTATTTGAACACATCATGTATGAGCGATTTAACATCACAAAGTAAGCAGATTGTGAGCGGATTGTGAGCGGATTGTGAACAGGTTAAGTGTGAGCAGATTAGAGGCTGTGTTTTGAACGGACTTATGACCAGATATGAGATTATCTAGACTAAGTGTTTGAGTGGTTTTGAGCGAATTTGGACACCCCTTGAGCGGTGTTGACCGGATTAAAGCAAGGCTTGACCGTATTCGGACATCAAGTGAGCAAGGCTTGACCGTATTCGGACACTATGTGAGCAAGGCTTGACCATATTCGGACATCAAGTGAGCGGTTTAACCAACATGGTGAGTGATTTAAACAGTTGTTGTGACCAGCGGATTTAAACAGTTGTTGTGACCAGCGGATTTAAATAGTTGTGGTGACCAGCGGATAAAAACAGTTGTTGTAACCAGCAGATAAAAGCAGCTGTTGTGTGGATAGAAACTATTTTGACAGCTGTGTGATTTACAGCTGTAAGTTGATCTATTTAGATATTGTGTCTGCATGGTGATTTAGTTTTTAGAAGTAAGCGGATTAGAAGTTAGCTTGAGCAGTTTATCATCTTGAGGTAAGCGATTTAGCAACACATTGTGAGCAGATTAAGAGTATGTTATATTGAGCGATTTAAGCTTGAGCGACTTAAATTCATTAAGTGTGCGATTTAAAGACTGCTTTGACCGGATTAAGAGCTTGCTGTGAGCGTTTTAACATCCATGCAATAAGTGAATCAGAGTTAGTCTTGTGCGTTTAAAGATCATGAAGTGAGCAGACTAAATCATGCATTGAGCGATTTAAGGCAGCGATTTGACCGGATTTCTTGAGTGATTTAAGTTGCTTTTGACAAGTTTAATAACAACTGTATTGACTGGATGAAGAACTAATCTGTTAGTTTTATAATTCATGCATTGACCGGATAATGTACAGACTTGACTGTTTTTGAAACTGTTTTGGATTATAGCATGTGTTGAGTTTAGCTTCTTCTCTTGACAGCTGTGAGTAATTTTCTGATAAAGAAGCTGTTAGTTTTTGAACGGTTTATTGTCTGCACTTTGAGCGGTGGTGAGTTTGAAAATTTTGACTGGATTTACAGCTGGTGTTGACTGTTTTGATTTTGATCTTGAGCAGTTTAGAGCTTAGCATCTTGTTTGATTTAAACAGAATTCTTGAGCAACTTTATCTTGTGTTTTGAGCGGGTTAAGATCGTGCTTTGAATTACTTTGAGTTGTTTAAATCACWCTTWGAGCAGATWAAACCTTGTGTGTTTTAAGCAAASTKGTAAACAGRTTAAGGCTGGTTGGTGTTTGATATTAAGCAATTTACCTTGTGTAGTGAGCGATTTAAATTCTATGTTTCATTCATGCAGTGAGAGGTATTTCATGCAGTGATCAGATTAACTGTTTGCAGTGATTTATCTTGAGTGGATTCTGTCATAATCTTGAGTGGTTTATCTTGTGTGATTACTTCAAGCTGTGACTGATTTTGTGTTGAGTGACCTTGTCTATTTTCAGAATTAGTGAATTCTTTTATACTGTATTTCTTTGATCATTTTTCTTAAACTGCATAGATCCTGTATTTGATCAATCTTAAATGACAGATATTCTAGAGACGGAGAATAGAGAGCTGAAAGAATCTCAAAGCTGGAAAAGAACATTAAGGATCATAAAGAAAAATATTTTAATATGTTCGATAAAAATGTGTTGATAAAGAATTTATCAAAGAACTTCAAAGTGAAAATAAAATCTTAAGACAAAATTCTGAAAAAGTTTTATCTGATAAAGCTAGTGAGTTTGAGAGAACTCTGGACAAAGTAAGGAAAGAGTAATAAAAAGAATTGAAGATTTGGACCGATGCGAATAAGAAGTTATTTAACAAACTTCAAGATGTGCAAAAAGTAAATGATTGTTTTGAGAAAGTTAATACAGATAAAGTGGACTTAACTGATAAATCTCATAAATCTGAAAGTGACTTGATTGAGCTAAGAAAACWTMTRAACTTAGARAAAGAAAAGGTTTTGAAAGCGGAAAAGGATTTGAATGTTGAAAGAAAAGTTTTAGAGAAAGAAAAGAAAAAGATTATAGAAATTGAGAAAAAATTTAGTACTGAACGTGAATCTTATGAAAATAAGATTAATTCTATTAATATATACAATAGATAATTACACTATGATTGTTGAATTTCTATTAATATATACAATAGATAATTACACTATTATGTATACTCTTCCTATACACATTTTCAATCTATTCACATCTCTATATAACTCATTCGTATATATGTTCAGTAACTGTGAACATATATATGTAAATTGAGAAAATTAACTGAATATGATATGTGTAAGAAGTATCAAATGATGCATGATGGAAAAGAAATTATAAGTATAGAAACAACATATTCAAGGTTAGAAGAATATTTTAATGTACCAAAGTATCACCCTGACTAACCCGACCAATCCATACGGGTTGGGTTGGGTTAAGATTTTTCAAACCGCAAGCATTGAGTTGAGTGGTTCAAATGTCTTCAACCCGATCAACCCAACCCATGAACAACCCAACCCCTAAGAATCCACATACGATCGTTGTTCAGTGGGATTGGTATGAAATAGCAACGGGACGAAAAATACCAAAACTCCATCAATGTTTAACGGTAAGAAACAGTTACTTATGGACACAAACACATATATATATATATATATGATATATATATGTATATGTATATATTACGATGATAAAAGTCGGGCTAACTTTTTAATACCCAACTGAACTCAGCCTCGTATATCATAACAAGCTCATCTCTGAAAACAAAAACAAGTAGTAATAAGCAAACAGTATGCAGGAAAATATGACGTCAGTCGAAATTGCTTCACTGGATGTTTAAAGCCATGAATAAGTTCTGTTTTCGAGCATGCTCGGGAATAAGCCTGTGAACCGTCTCTCTAGAAACGCCCGCGAGTTCTGCACATACAAATATCATCACAACTTGAAACTTCCCATGTAAAAGAAAACAGGCAAGGACATGTCATTTTAAACCATTTTGCTAACAAAACATGACTAGTTTATCAGCTAACAACTAGCTTATCAACCAACACAGCCTACATAGAACGGCATATAGGGATTACAACAACTTTGCCAACTTAGTAGGGTCCATTCTCCCCAAGTACCTGGGGACAATGGACCCACGAGACTTCGCTTATCCTCTTTCTTTCTTTAATTCAATAACAAGACTGCCTCTTCTTTTGGAATAGATAACTTGCCTTGGGGTTTAAAGTTAAAAAGCGGAGGAAGGGGGCGACCATTGGGAAGACGGGTATTAGGGTCCCTCAATTCATCAAAGAAGGGATGAACACAGGCTTCCAACTGCATTTAGAAAAACAGTATTACATTATATTAGAAAACCAACTATAGTTTAAGTTCATTCCCTACAGAAGAAACATGGAAAATGTAACTCACAGCGGTGCATCGTAAGTTGGGTGAATACTGGAAAAACCTACAAACGAGATCCACTGCTTCAGGAGGTAGGCGCTTCTGGAATACCTGAAATTAAACAATTCATTCAAAGGATTCAAAGTTAGGGGTTGGATTTTCATTAAGCCATGTACGGATTAGGCTAAACTGTTATTTGGTTCTAGTGTCAGGTAAACAATCTAAATGACAAAAAAAAAGACAACTATTTTACCCCTCGGTTATATTAAGCACCGATTAAGATAGTTGTTTGATCAATATGTTGAACTAATGATTTTAAATGATACAAAATATCGATTTAAAGGGAAATAGTATATCCTTTTATTTAAGAAAAACCCTTAAATAGAAATTTTGAGAAATGGTAATACTTTGAGAAGTAAAGAAGTGATCCTAGCCTTTCATACGGTCAAAATCGGATTTGAGTGGTGAAAATTTGCGGCTACGCAAAAAACCGAGGGAGTAGTTCGTAACTTTTACAAATAGGCGGCAAACAGGTTCATATGTGAACCTGTGTGATTCACATATGAACTATATGTTCATATGTGAACCCATGTAATTCACATTAAACTGTTTTAACCGATTCACATATCAACCCGTGTGATTCACATATGAACCCTTGTGACTCACATGTGAACTAATTAACTGATTCACATATATGAACAATAACACATGAAAAATGGTTTGTAGGTTCGTAACAAATATTGGGTTTGTATTTGAAA